GTGTGTGTGTGTGTTAAATACTTGAGAAACCGCAATAAATTCTACAGCTTCATGGGGCGGTATGATAATCTCACCTTTGTATATCTTTTCCTCTGTTTGTCTCGTCATTGCTTCCACAGGCCTGCTTGTGCTGAGTGAAGCCTTCATTCGTGCCAGCTCTTCGTCTCTGCCATTTTCTCGCATGAATTTGACTTGTTCTACCAGCGACACTTTCTGTCTCGTAGTGCCTTGTCCGCGTGCGTCCCCCATGTTTAAGGATACTCTCTGATTTGTTAGTATGTAGCATCCAACAATGAACATGTATGCCTTATGGTATATAAATAGTATCTGTACCCCATACAATTGATATTTGCTCTTTTGTTTATCTAATAAAAAGAAAAAAGGACAGTACCACAGCCTCCAATAGTAGTCTGTAGAGATTCTCAAATATGGCCTAGTCTCGCCGAGCTAAAAACAGGAAGCCGATTGGAATCTCTAAAAAAGCTTTCCAAAAAAATATCAAACTCTCAAATTAGCCATTTTGTCAAAATCGGCAAATATCGGCCCTAAAAGGCACCCTACACTGGCCTAAACACTTCAGACTCATCGAATTTGGACTCTCCAAGTGTTTCGGGTCACAACCATGCGTCTAACTATCAAAATACACGCCGAAGATATTATTTATTCTTAAAATAATAGGCTCATTTATATGCGGTCAGACCTCATTGATAAGGTATATACGATGACTATACGTAAGCCAAAAGTACATCTAGGTTGGGGTGTGTACAGTCAGCTCGTGGTGTGCACGGTAGATTTGTTAGTAATCGTCCGGAACCTGAGGGTGCTGAAGAGTACGTAAGTTGAGCCGGATGGGAATAAAGTGATTCAGTAAGGTCGTTTCCATCAGCGATTTAGGACAGTCTACTGCGTCTGTGGAATTAGAGATGCGTATAGCAAAGTGTCGGCTCGCAGTAAGAGAATTCACAGATTTCTTTGTATAATGAATGTTGTGTTTGATTGTGTGTTTTACTTCATTTATTATTTTTCTTTTTCTTTTCAAAATCACAGGTGTATGGCCCATATGTGACATAGGCACCCATTTTAATAAATTCGGCCAATTTTTTTTTATTGCAGTTTTGGACAGCCCTCGATCCGCCAAATGCGTTGGTACAATTTGTTTTTGAAAATCGGTCAAGCCAAAAAAAGGTTAATCAAATTACAAAATCGGCCTGAGTTTCCCGGTTCTTAAAAATACTGCCGTGCACCTTGAATTTGTCTATACGACGCCCGTCTCTATAAAATTGATAACGACCTGACCCGTGTCCAAAACCGTATCTGGACCATTCGCAAATGTAGGGTTGATGGGCCCACGTAAGGCGACTTTGGCCCCGATAACAGAACAATTAAGCGTGTACTCCGCAAAAAAATATCTCACCGATGCAACGGTCAAGTATCCAGTTTTCGGTACATAATCTACACCTATCACCTGAAATAGAATACAACGCCTCAGACTAGAGAGAGCCAATGTTGGGTTAAACCCGTGAGCGTGAATTCGTGGATCATACTTCTCAATATTATAATAAATAAATTTGTTAAGACTGCGACCACTATGACTGCGACCGGGTCTTGCGACCACTATGCCTGCGACTCTCGACTGCGACTATTATGCCTGCAACTCTCGACTGCGACAATTATGCCTGCGACTCTCGACTGCGACCGTTTTATGTCTGACGCTTCTACTTGCGATTCTAGAGTTTTAGGGTTTTATGGTTTTAGCTATACAAACAAATACATATATCATAGCCCCCTGAGAAAAAAGAGAGCAGTTGTTGATTATTCAAGGGCTATGCATATATACAAACATACATATATATATATACATACATATATACATATATACATATACACATATATACATATATACATATATTTGTATATACATACATTAAAATATGTATATACATATATATACATGAATATACACACATAAACATAAATATATACATATACATATACATATGCATATACTCATATACGTATACAC